GCTTATGTTTCTCATGTCAGAGAAATGTATGTCTAAGATCTCTTTTTATTTGTTTGTTTTGTTTTTAAGATCCCTTTTTAGAATATCCTGTTCTTTTTACATGAATGCAGTGTCTTCAGAGAGAATAAATGGTTCTTTTTCTTTTCAGGTTTTCTTTTCCCCAGATAGTCACTTTCCTCCTAGTTGCCTTTTTTTCTGGCTTCTCTCAGATGTTTTCCTCAAATATCTGGTAACGTTTAACTCTCTCTCAAACTTCAATACTGGAGAACTGACAAAGCTGACAGGAAGTTCGAAAGGGCTGGGTAGAGCTTGCTGACTATTGCTCTCTGGTAGGGTGATCTTGCTGAGACCCTTCTTTGGGGAATCCTGAGATTCCCCAAAGAAGAATCACTTTACTTAAAATTCCAGAGAGTCCTGGTGCCTCTTGTTTTCTTGGTGAATCTCAAAAGTATTTCTAGACATATTCAGTGACTTTAAAAACTATGTCTAGCCTGGCTGGTGTGGCTCAATGGTTGAGCGTCAACCCATGCATCAAGAGGTCGCCGGTTCAATTCCTGGTCAGGGTACATGCCCAGGTTGTGGGTCCAATCCCCAGTGTGGGGCATGCAGGAGGTAGCCAATTGATGTTCTCTCTCATCGATGTTTCTATCTCTCCCTCTTCCTTCCTCTCTCTCTAAAATCAATAAAGAAAAAAAATAAAATGAAAATAAAAACGATGTCTAATTTCACCTGGAAAAACAATACTTTTTTTTTTCTTTTTCATGACCTGAGTTTATTACTAGTATACAAAGTTGTTGTTAATGTCATGAAGTTATTTTTATAGTCTTAAACCAAAAATTGGAAAAGACAAGTGGGCCTCAAAAGGGTATGCTAAAGTATATATGTATCCTTTCAAGACAGAGTCAGTAGCTTTTGTCAGATTCCTAATCCCTTGTTTGACCCAAAAGAGATATCAAACAAAACCAAGCAAATGAACTAACAAAACATTTCCTAGAGCAGTGGTCCTTACCCTGGGATTGTGTGTGTCAAAACTGTTCAGTTTTGTTGAATACACAATCCTAGACCCTACCAGGAGAAAGTTTGAGGAAAAATGTTTACACTGACTGCTCCTAGCTGGATGATGGAGTTGGCCCAGTTGGTTGTACTGCTGAAAGACGGTGTCCGTGTTTATACACCAGCCACACACAGGAGATGCTTATAGTTCAGAAGCACTTTTGTCCTGAGTAATTAAGTGTTCCATTTCAGTAAGTCAGCTCCTTTCTGACTCGGCCCCATTTGGTTGGAATAGAGGATCTACAACAGTGATTCTCAAACTGAGGATATCAAAATCTCCTGAGATGCTTGTTAAAAATGTAGATTCTGGGATTTCTCTCCCCGATTTCGATTTCTTAGATCTGGGAAGCAATTCTACATTTTATTTTTAATAGAGGATCTACAACAGTGATTCTCAAACTGAGGATATCAAAATCTCCTGAGATGCTTGTTAAAAATGTAGATTCTGGGATTTCTCTCCCCGATTTCGATTTCTTAGATCTGGGAAGCAATTCTACATTTTATTTTTAAATTTTTTTCTTTATTGATTTTAGAGAGAGAGGGAGAGAGAGAAACAACAATGAGAGAGAACATCGATTGACACCTCCTACATGCCCCCCACTGGGCCCACATCCTGAGCATGTGTCCTGATCGAGAATCGAACCAGCAACCTCTTGGTGCATGGGTCGACTCTCAACCACTGAACCACACCAGCCGGGCGCAATTCTACATATTTTAATAGGTATCCTTGGTTATTCTGATGCAGATAATTAGTGGACCGTATTTTGAGACATGCTAATCTAAGTGTGCTACTGATAATATCCCTGAAAGTGTTTTGGGGGAGGATTGGGCTGAGAAGGTTAATTCTGTGCTTCTCGTTATTGTTTAAATATTAGTTCCTAAACGTATAATAATATGGATAAGCAGTACAGCTTATACCTAGGCAACCAAGACTGTGTACTGTAAAGGGCCCAGCTCTGGTCTTCTTCCAGGCAAATCCCACTTCACAGGAAGAGGAATCCCAGAGCACATCCCCCCCTGAAGTCCAGCCCCTTCCAGACCAGACTCTGGGTGCTCAGCACCCTTGCCCAGTGTCTACTTTCCTCCTAGGTTCAGGGGATAACTAAGTAATAGCTTCCGTTTTACCGAATAGTCTCATACCTTCAACTTTTCCTTTGTTCACCAAAAGTCCCTCTATGCCTTTGCTATTCTATATTAGCAGTTCTCAAGTAAAGACGCACTCATTGCATCTCCTTTGACATTGAGGAAGTGACTCCTCAACTTATACTTAGTTTTATATAATGTTTGAGATTGCTTATTAACATCTGATATGAGGCTGCAGTGTTTTAATTGCAATAAATTTTGTTGGAGCAGAGGAAAGCTACAACTTTCCAAACAACTGGGAAGTTGTGGTTCCTCTGTTGTACTCCTTTATAACAGGCAGGAAGAAGGAAGACACGTGTTCCATATTATTTCTTCAAAAGGGTCTGGGGAAAAGAGAGAAAGGAAGAGATTAACTGACATAATTTAACACTTGGAGCTATAAATCATGTGTTGCAATGTGGTGATAGGATGTTGCATCAGAACATGGCAGTTGTAATGCAGTGGGTATCACTACCACGCAGTCTGTGTGGTGCTCTCGCCCTTTCCGTAAAGATTCAGCTCCCAGTTTGTATCCCTTCTGCCCTGCCAAGGAGAATGGTGTTATTTCAGTTTCCTTGTACCTCATGATAATTTTGTTCTCCTGGTTTAGGGCACAGGAATTTCTTTATGGGTGAAAGTTTGCCTGAGGCAGACATCATTGTACTGGGTCCCAGCACCCGTTTTGTTTCCTATTGTCACATACCAGCGGGGAAGTGTTAAGGTTTCTTCACATCTTCCTGGAAGTCTGTAGGGAAAGCTGGGAGGTGTTAATCGCAAAGCTGTAATGTCTTTACTCTTAGAACCGTTAGTTTTGAAAGTATATGTAATATTTCCTGAATATTTCACATTGCCTTTATCTCAAGATTTGAAAGATAGTCAGTGACCAGGACTTTGTCCCTGAGAAACAAAATTGAAGATTGATAGAAATGATAAGGGTAGGAGAATGGAGTATATTTCAGCAAAATTATTGATAAACCAGATAGTTGTTTTTATTGTTGTTTTGCATTTTTTAACACATGACGATATCACAATTAAATTTTATATTTAAAACATAAACTCTTGAGGACAGGGCTAATGTCTTAATCACATGGTAGTGCAAGTAGAAGCATCCATGGTGGTGGGTTTGGGAATTTGAAGGAACTTAAGCAAAGAAGTGACAGATGATGAAAAATAACCTTAAATTCTGATAAAATTGGTTTTGCACAATGTGATTTAGATATGTGACAGTGAGTTTTTCAGTACTGAAATCTAGAATTAGTCAGACTTGCCCACCCAGTAAAATGTAGCATTTGATCTCCATAACTCTTCCCCTTTGAGGGTCCTGCCCTATAAAACCCAGGAATAGAGAAACAGAGCCTCCTCCCAAAGATGGAAAGGAAGGCAAAGAGCTGAGCAATACGTGCAGTTCCTCTCCCCTACTTGATGACAGAGAAATTGCTCCTTCTTCCTGGGAAGGAGCAGGGGAAAGAAGGCAAAGATGTCATGCACTGCTGGTATTCCCTACACAGAAGGAAGGAACCTTGGTGGGAAGAAGCATCCCTGCCCTTATGGAGTGACAGTGGTATGCTGGTTCTTAGGATGCTGTGACAGGACATTGAAACAAATTTTAAGCCCCAGCCGGTTGGCACAGCAATTGGAGCATCAGCCTGCGGACCAGAGAGTCCCGGGTTCGGTTCCTGCTAGGGGCACGTACAAAAAAAAAACAAAAGCAAATTTTAATGATTTATAAATCATTTTAATCATTCACTGAATTAAGGAGACATGTTCTTTTTTTAAAATTTTTTTTCCTTTATTGATTTTAGAGAGAGAGAAAGTGAAAGAGAGAGAGAGATAGAAACATCAATGAGAGAGAACATCGATTGGCCACCTCCCGTATGCCCCCCACTGGAGGTCAGGCCCACAGTCTGGGCATGTGTCCTGGCTGGGAATTGAACCGGCGACCTCTTTTTTTTTTTAATCCTCCACCCGAGGATATTTTTCCATTTTTTTGTACAGATAGAGTGGGAGGGAGAGAGAGGAAGGGAGAGAGAGTGAGAAACATCGACGTGAAGGGACACATCAAGTGGCTGCCACCCGCACAACCAACCAGGGCCGGGGACAAACTGCAACCGAAGTACGCGCCCTTAGTGGGAACCGAACCCGGGTCTCTCTGTACCGCAGGCCAACGCTCTAACCGCTGAGCCAAACCGGCCAGGGCGAACCGGCGACCTCTTGATGCATGGGTCGATACTCAACCACTGAGCCACACCGGCCAGACAGGAGACATATTCTTAAAAGACTGTGTGTGATAGTTTGGAGTATGGTCTTTAAGTCCATATTGTCTAGAGATGCACACTGAAATATTTACAGGTGAACTGATAGGATGTCTAAGATCTACCTCAAAATAATCCCAGGACTGGAAAGGTATAATGTAATAAGTAAGATTATCCATACGGTGTTAGTTGATGAAATTAGGTGATGGGTACATTCGGTTTTTTGTGTTACCTCTAGTTAAAAAACGAAGTTCAATTTGAATATAAACTTCACTGTTAGCTATGTGTCCTCAGCAATATGCTCAACCTGAGTCTCTATTTCCTAATCTCTGAAATGAAGATAATCAAATGCACCATATGTAGGACTGTTGTGATGATTCGATTAAAATAACAAGTTATGTGCCCATTACATAACACACAGGAATCAGTCAAAAATTAGAGGTTACTATTATATTGATAAATGGAAAACAATCAAGGTATCGTCTTCCTTAAACATGAAATGTTTGCTTCTTGGTAGGGGTGTGTATGTATTGCCCCCAGTTGAGTGTATTAACTTGGATTTTGTTTTGACAGCTCAGGTGCCTAAAAGGCCAGAGGGGCTTCTCAGGCCAACCCCCTTTTGATGGAATCCACATTGTCAACCATTTAATAGGAGATGACGAGTCATCGCATTCCTCTGATGAAGATTTTATAGAGAATTCCTTACGGGAGAGTGGCATCGGTTTTCCTTTGCACAGAAAATCTGGGGCAATGTCTTTGGACCCTGCTGTGGCCGATGGTAGTGAAAGTGAAACAGAAGACAGTGTGGTGGAGACCAGAGAGAGTCAGCAAGTGGCTCAAAAGGAACAGCCCCCCAAAAAAAGGGAGTCATACTCAACTACTGTCTGACCACCACTGTGACCTAGACTGTGGATTTTTTTTAAGGGATCAGTTATATGATTAAGGGTTTTGGGGACATATCTGTTTCATATGTACATATATGTATTTTTCAATCTTATCTGCCTTTTCATCTTTGCCAAACCTTGACCACTGACTGACCGTTGCCATCAAGTAGATTGGAATATGGTTAATGTGAGAAATAAGGTTCTAACAGTATTACTGAATATTAATGTTTCTTGTGTAGAAAATGTTAATTATATCTATATGTGGGAACCATTTTGAAGTTCAGAACTATGGAAAATTTAATTTTCTTCAGACAAAACTGCTCTTGTGCAATATTTTATGCTTAGTAAACAAATTGTATATTTATATTTATCAATTTGTTTTCAGGGCAGCTGTCTCCAAACATTTGACCAAGACATACATTTGATTTATCTTGTGTTTTTGTGTTTGGGGGACTTTTATTTTCAGTTGAAATTACTGCTTTATTAGTGGGCCACTGAAAGTTCCCAAACACAGCATCTTTTTTTCTATGTAACTTTTTTAAATACTAATTAATGGTTATCTGGCTTGAGAGTTTTAAGTTTTGTTTGAATTTCAGATTTTTATGTGCATATATTTTCATATATTGCTTATGAGTCAGAGCAGAAAGTTAACTACAAATATATTGTTTTTTGTACATAATTTATAAATCTGCATCACCCAATATTGAACATCATTTTATATGGAGAATGTACATGTTGCGAAATGACTGCCTCCAGCATTCTGACAGGACTTCTGTAAATACAGTTAAAAGGAAATTGAAAATAAAACCAAACACTAATATTTTAATAGCTTTAGTATTTTGCTTAGCATTAAACACTAGCTGATTTATAACTAATTCTTGCTCAAAAACACTGTTGGTGAGATATTTTAACCTCGTGTGTATGAAACTAATAAATTGTCCATGATTAAAAATGTTACAGCACACATTACTTAGTGCTAATATTCTACTTAATATAAATTAAGCAATGGACTTAAGTCCAAGATACACAACAGTAATATCTGCAAATAATCTATGGACATTATGTTCAGATTCTCTAATTACTAATCTATAGATAAAGCCATAAAAATTCTTTCCTACCAATTCTCCCCCCCCCCCCTTTTTTTATCATTCAGACTATATTTCATAGGAAACTGAATATCTATCATTGATAAATTGGAGGAAACACCCAGATTATACTTACATTATGGAAAGATAACAAGAATGTGTTGACTGGATGCTTTCCACTCTCATTTTCATCAGCTGCCTATGGAAAAAATAGCCTTCGAGGATGAGGGGAAGGTTGACTTCAGTATATATGGAGATATAATTTTGCACAATATGTTACATGCAGAATAATATATATATATATATATATATATTACAGAATGGAGTAGAAGAGACAAATATAGTTTTCTGTCTAAAACCAGGAGCTAAGCTGTATGCATCTCCATGAACTAGGCTTCTCCAGCAAGCCCTTTGTAGCTATTTGCTTGAGAAGCGAGACTGAAAACACGCCTGCTGTGTCCATGGCACCAGGCTAAGTTCTAGTGGTTAAGTAATTGACCTGTGGTCACGTGTTAGTAAGTGGCAAAGCCAAGATTTTCATTCAGATCTCTCTGACACCAAACGGTCTGAAAAGGTTCAGCGAATGATTTTCTCAATTCCCTGCTTTTCTGACAATTAATGTGATTTTTTAAAGAAGTTAAATCACATTTCACAGCCTGTGGGAGTATAGATAGTACTCCTAGAATCACCTGACTGGTGCTTTTGGGGTCCGTTACTGTCAGCCTAGAGGCTGTTGATGCCCAAGTGAAATGAGATGATTCATGGCCACATGATTGCTTTGACACCCACATCAAGAAATCTGAATGATCTAGACCAGAGGTCAGCAACGACACCCATGAGCCAATTCCAGCCAGCTGCCTATCTTTACATGACCTACAAGCAAAGAGTGTTTTTTACATATTCAAATAGTTGAAGGAAAAAATCAAAAGAATTTGTCACATGAAAATCATATAAAATACATATTTCAATATTGATAAAGTTTTATTGGATACCCATGCTTATCCATTATATATTGTCTATGGCTGCTTTTGTGTTACAGTGGCAAAGCTGAGTAGCCTAAATTATCTAACTTTCTGGCTCTTCAGAGAAAAAGTTCACTGACCCTTGATTTAGATACTCTAAAATGTAAGCTTACTTCAATTTGTCTTGGTAGAACATCAGACCATTTGCTTTCGCTGTTGAGTTCATAGTTTGGAAACCTAAAATTTCCTGGTGGATCTTGTATTCAGAACTATTCAAAATGGAAAGTGTGACAGCTGTTTTATATCATGAAGTCTTTGACACCAAAGACAAATTTGGAAGGATATCTGTACCTTTGGAAATGGACAAAGAAAGAATTCCAGCACTTTCTTTAAAGTATGTAAGATTGACCTTTAGGGTATGCTTCGTTGAGTTAAGGTTATAATTTGACTTTAAAAGAAAGAATATCTTTCTGTAATCATGTTTGAATTCTAAACTTTGAAAGATATTGTTAGAGCATTTCCTAAGTACTGTTTCTGGTTAGGAATTAGGTATTAAAAGAATCATGGTAAGCAAACTTTAATCCATTGATACTCTTGGAATTTGGATAATGAAAAACAAGAAGCAATCTTCTCATTCAAGATCTTTTATTCAAATACTCCTGAAAAGAGTTTAAAATCTTCCTGACATTTAGGATGCAATAGGATACTATGCTCTGATTACATTCCATTTCATTCAAATTAAGACAGAGGCATTGGACAATGTTTTCTTGATTTTAATTAGTTCCGGTATTTTGACATTTAGATGTTATTCAGTTAAACAGAACTGAGGAATTTGGGGGCAGGGAGGAAGTGAATGAAATAAATTTTTAAAACTCACAGTAAAAAAATTTTTTAAATGTATTCCCTTGGCCTAGTCACCTTCCTGGTGTAATCCTGGGTCAGAAAGCTAAGAGTGAAGTTCACAGATGATCTGAATAAAATGGAAATTGCATTGAGGTGGTAAAACAGAACTTTTAGATCAAGAAAATGTCTCAACGGCCTTTTAAAAATTAGTGGTAAATTTTTCATCCTGGTAAAAGAAGTCAAAGATGTAACTTGACACAGTTTCTACCTGTTTTATTGATAAATATTAGTCAGTCAATATTCGATGAGTAATTGAGACAGCAAATCCCTGCTAACTGGCTGCCTGTTTTGGAAGAAAAAAGCAACAACTTTTTCTTGGCTTGTGTTGTATCTTGTTACTCACCAGACAGAACCTCTGATTGAAAACAAGGCCTACAGCCTTTTAAGAATTTTATTTATGACCTAAGAAATTACTTGGTTCCTCATTATCCTTTATCTTTTATAGGATGCACTATAATTTTCAGATTCAAATAAGAAAAGCATATGAATTGTGTTTTTGATAAAGCCCTTTTATGGCCAGCTTGATTATTGTAGTACCAGGCATCAACTGCTAACATTTCAGAAATCAATGATTTACTTTTATTAAAACAATGAGCTTTAGCAAGAAAGTTATTGCTGCTCTATCATTAATAAAACAGTAAGTTTTAAAAAATAATTTAAATTCATTCATTCTACTGAAATTAAAAGTTCTGGTTTAAAGTGGAGTGGATGCTATTTATAATTCAAGTTTTTACATCACATCCATTGATCTACCTGTCCCTTCTTTTCACTCCAAAGAAGAGATGATAGAATAACACATTAGGTATACTATAGAGATGCAAACTTACAATGTATTTTATTTTACTGTTGGAATTTCTTATTGTAACATTGTATGATGACCTGGAATATTTACTTGTGCCTTTGCTTTAAACAATTAAAAGTTTTTCATTTTATAAGAATTTTTGTTTCCTTAAGCTATTCAACTTAAAAGGGGAGATGCATCAAAGTATTTTAAAAATCTACTAGAGAAGTGCTACACTCATCCATAGATAGCTGGTTGGAGAAGGAATCCATCAAATACCATGAATAACCAAGGCAATGAGGCTGCTCAGAAAGAAAATGAAAAATCTCCAGAAAATAAAGACACGCAAATATGTGATTTAAATGACAGAGGATTCAAGATTGCAGTTCTTAAAAAAAAAAAAAAAGATACAAAACACTAAACAAATGTGTGGCCTAACATCAGATACTCATTAGTGAGGTTTGTGCTCCATGGGTACAGGGACCATATCCATCTAGTCCACCCATGTGTAATTAGTACCAGACAGGCTGGGATGTGATATTTTTCCATTTAATGGAAGGCCAGATATTTAGATTTGCCGTTTCCTTCAGGAGCATACTAATTTTTTAAAAATATTTATGGCAATACAGTTGTCCCTCACCACTTCGTGCTTGGACTTCCGCGGCTTCACTCGATCGCGGTTTTTTCCGGAAGTCCAAGCACGAAGTGGCAGGGACGACTGTGTATAAAGAACCCTACTTGGTGGAAATTCATTTATCGCAGTAGAGTCTGGAACTGACTAACGGCGATAAACAAAGGCCGACTGTATTTTCACCTCGTATTTTAGTTAATTATCAACTAATTCAATAAATGTATTCAAACATATATAATCTGAATATACACATAGAGGCTGTTATAAAAAGAAATGCTTGCCTTCTGCATCTTTATCACAACATTAATGTCATTTAGTTCAGAAGCAGTAGTTCACTGTATAATCTGCTCTATTCCCAAAAGGATTTAAGGTACTTTATAAAGGTACATGAAATATGACAAGATAGTTATAATCCAGGGTTTCTCCACCTTGGCACTATTGACATTTGGGGCAAGTGACTGTCGTGTACCTTGTGGGGTGTTTAGAGCATTCCTGGCCTCGACCCACTAGCTGACAGTAGCACCCCCTCGTGTTGTGACAACCGCAGATGTCTTCCTCCAGTCATTGCTAAATGTCCTTGGTAGGGAAAGACTGAAAATGAAAAATTGCCCCTGGTTGAGAATCTCTGATATAAACTTAGAAGTGGGTCAAAAAACA